CTTTGTAACACCTGCAGCCTTGGTTGCCACACAACCGAGGGCCTGCATGAATGAGCTGCCGCTCAGGTGTAAGCTTAATCATTGCTGTAGAGCTTTCGCTTATTGTAGACTTCCCTAGCATAGTCCCTGCCTTTCGGCGGACTTTACAATGCTCAGAGGATACAGAGGATCACCGGGCAATCAGAGCTTCACTCTGGCCGGTCTTCTAGTCACTGGCGAGGCATAGACTCGTCAGTCATTGTTCCCATGAATAGATCCCCTTCCTAGCGCCCGGAATGTAGTTACTCTAACAGCTGGTAGCTAACCACACTGCCGGTACTTGCATATCACCGTGCAACTAGCTTCTAACAATAACTCTCAGCATGTAACCGGGCCCTGTATGTACTCATACACTAGACAGTTGAAATGGCTCCGTTACACCACTCCCCTCTTCCAGGATCTTGGTCTCCGAGATCTATAATCATTCTATTACCATTCATTCTATATGACAAGAAACTCCGTGATGAGCAAGGAACGAAAACCTAAAGGAAAACTACACCCCAACAATCCGCTTGTCCTTGGGTTTCTTAGGATACCTCATATGGAAATCCCGAAGGGCTGCTTCAGCACTCTTCTTGAGATGCTCCCAAGGTTCCCATGTAGCATCCTCATTCTCATAACGTTCCCACAGCACTAGGTATTCCACTCGTCTCCTCTTCTTATTGACCCGGCTATCAGCTACCTCCCGGACAACCCAGTTCTGTTCTCCTTCAATCTCTTCGGGTTCCGGTGGTGGAACTCTTCTCTCAGGATCTACCGGTGCTCTGTAAGGTTCCAGAAGAGAGACATGAAAGACCGGGTGGATTCCCATTTGAGGGGGAAGAGAGAGCTTGTAGGCACGGGTACCAATAGCTTCTAAGACTTTAAAGGGTCCCATCTTCTTCTGATCCAATTTTCCCAAAGGCCGCTTTGTTTGCACATTGCGCCGGTCCAACATTACTTCATCTCCGGGCTTGATTTCAGGCAGTGCCAGGGCATGAGCATCATACCACCGGGCCATCCTCAATCTAGCTTTACCCAAGCTGACGTTCATAGCCTGCCAGATAGATTCCCATTGAGAAATCATGACCTCACTCGCTGGATTGTTCCATTCCACTCCTTCCTTTGGGACCGGCCAGTTGGTTCTAGGTTCATAACCATAGTTGGCATAAAAAGCCGATACTTTGGTAGACTCAGAGACCGCCGAGTTATATGCATACTCTGCCAAAGGCAAAAGTTCTGCCCAGTCATCCTGTTGATATGAACAATAACTCCGCAAGTAATGTTCCAGGATCTGGTTAACTCTTTCTGTTTGACCATCCGTTTGGGGGTGGAAAGAAGTGGACATCTTCAGCTTCACATTGAGGAGACTCATGAGAGATTGCCAAAAGTGAGAGATGAACCTGCTGTCTCTGTCCGAGACTATGTCATCAGGTAAACCATGGAGTCTCCAAACTTCCTTCAAGAACAGCTTAGCCAAATCTTCCGTTTTATTGAGGGTAGGAAGAGGGATGTAGTGCGCCATTTTCGAAAAACGGTCCACTATTACCCAGATCTTTGTAAACCCACTAGATTCCGGTAGTCCCACAATGAAGTCCATAGAGATGGAAGTCCATGGCCGATAGGGTATCTCCAACGGTTGGAGCATACCAAACTTCTTGTGTCTTGAGGTCTTATTCCTCTGGCAGCTGTCACAGCTCCGGACATATTCCTCAACATCCTTATCCATGTTGGGCCAAAAGAAGTTGTTTTTCACCCGCTCAAGTGTCTTAAATTGGCCAAAATGACCAGCCACCTTAGAGTCATGGGTATCGGACAGTATTTCCATCTGAAGCTTCTTGTCTTTGGGTATATACCATCTATTCTTATAGAAGATGAGATCGTTCTTGACCGACAAGTTCTGGTCCAAATTTGGTTTCCTTTCAACCAGGGAGCGGTGCAGTTCTTGCCAGAAACTATCCTCTTTAGCAGCTGTATGTAGGCGCTCTAAGAATGTATTCTGCAATTGATTCACCCTGACAGCCGCTAGCTTTGCAAGATCCAAAACCAATTGACTTGGCCTAAAAAAGATCTGTGGCTCCGTGTGAGGGATGCGTACCAGACCACAAGAGTACACTACGCAGAGCTCAGAGTTCGGCTAACAGCTACAAAGGTAGAAGTCTCCAAGGTCTCTTCAGTCAACGTCGAGTATAATTCTCCTTGATCCGATACGGGCCCCGCGAGCTACGTTATCAACCAAGATTCACTAGAGTTAGCGTGGGAGGTTCGACCGTCTTCGACGTAATAGTTCAGGTAGAGTTCGAAGTCACAATAGAATAAAGTATTTCCAAAAGTATAGTCAAATAAAGTTGTAACTCGCGTATCAACGATTTATATTGTTAAGACTCTGATTTCGCCGATGATGGTTTGGCTAGTCAGTGAATGACACAGTATTTATATCCCTCGCTTATGTCTCGAGGACCCAGTCTACTAATAATACAGAATACACTCGGGGCATGCCCGAGACCCTGAAAAACAACCAAGAACATTTTAACTCCTAAATCCGTAACCCAAACTCCTAAAGCCGCTGAAACCCCTCAACCTATTTATCCACTCTAATGCACGTTTCCCTGTCGATGTTTCTTCTCCATCGGCCGTCTGGTGGATAATCGTCAGCATCGGCTATTCGGAGGTCTCGGACCGCAAGGCTACCTACTCAGGCCTCTTCCCACATCGCTTTCCCACATAGCAGAGTCCTCTCATGCCCACAGGTACCACCGATAGGTACTCGGTCGGCTGGCAGCTTGCGCCGATTCGCTCCGAGCGGTCCGATCTTCGATCCGATTGATTCCAGCTGTCCCTCATATATCCACCGGTACCAAAACACTCCCCTGCGGCGGTTTGACGCTCCGGGGGTTATTATTGGGGTCGAAAACGTATTTTTTATGACTCCGTGTTTTGATCGTATATTGGTCACACCACACTCCGCGAGTGCGGTCCAGAGATAACGTTGGCGTACAGAGGGTATTGGGGTATCTACTAGCCTTTTCTCTCACTCCCGTAAATGCTTGGCATGCCCGTAACACTCCGGCTGCAGAGTTTCACCTCCCTCTCCAAGGCGGTGATCCCAGCGCCTAGATAGCACATAAGTCTTGCCATTCTTTTCTCCCGGTCTGTAGACAACTTTCAAATTGTAGCTTGCGAGGTCTTCAGACCATCTAGCTTGCCGCCTAGTGAGAACCTTGGTAGAATTAAAATACTCCAAGTTCTTGTGGTCTGTGAAAACCGTGATCTCCTGCTCACAAGATTTGAGCATGTGTTCCCATTCCCGGAAAGAGGCAACAATAGCTCCCATTTCCTTATCATGAATGTCATAGTTGATCTCAGCAGGAGAGAACTTTTTGGAATAGAATGCCACCGGATGTAGCTTCCCATCGTCCCCATACTGAGAGAGCACCGCTCCCTTGGCAAAATCAGTGGCATCTGTCTCGACCACTGTTCTCCTACTAGGGTCAAAATGAAGAAGGATTGGAGCGCTTGTGAACAGCCTCTTGAGTTCTTCAAAGGCCTGCTCATGTGCTGCCGTCCAATACCATTTCTTGTCTTTTTGCAGGAGGTCAGTTAATGGTTTGCAAACTTTACTGAAGCCTTCAATAAAGCGGCGATAGAAGTTTGCAAATCCGAGGAATGCCTGTACTGCCTTGATATTCTCAGGGACCGGCCATTCCTTAACTGCCTCCACCTTGTCTTCTGACATAGATACTCCTTCTTCCGAGATGTGATAGCCTAGGTACTCTACTTCTCGGACATGGAAGGATGTCTTACTGATAGAGGCACAGAGCTTTGCTTCCCTCAGCTTCTGTAGTACCTTCTTGACCAGTATCTCATGCTCTTTCTCAGTTTCCGAGTAGATGAGGATGTCATCAATATAGACAACCACTCCTTCATCCAGTAGTTCCTTCAGCACATCATTGATCATTGCCAGGAAGGTGGAGGGAGCATTGCATAGACCAAACGGCATCACATTATACTGATACTGTGAGGGATGCGTACCAGACCACAAGAGTACACTACGCAGAGCTCAGAGTTCGGCTAACAGCTACAAAGGTAGAAGTCTCCAAGATCTCTTCAGTCAACGTCGAGTATGAATCTCCTTGATCCGATACGGGTGTAACGGAGCCTTTTCAACTGTTTGGTGTATGAGTACACACAGGGCCCGGTTACATGCTGAGAGTTATTGTTAGAAGCCAGTTGCAAGGTGATATGCAAGTACCGGCAGTGTGGTTAGCTACCAGCTGTTAGAGTAACTACATTCCGGGCACTAGGAAGAGGATCTATTCATGGGAGCAATGACTGACAAGTCTATGCCTCGCCAGCGACTAGAAGACCAGCCAGAGTGAAGCTCTGATTGCCCGGTGATCCTCTGTATCCTCGGAGCATTGTTTGTCCGCTGAAGTGGCAGGGACTATGCTAGGGAAGTCTACAATAAGTGAAAGCTCTACAGCAATGATTAAGCTTACACCTGAGCGGCAGCTCATTCATGCAGGCCCTCGGTTGTGTGGCAACCAAGGCTGCAGGTGTTACAAAGGCTTTGACTAAGGGTGGTTGCCTTAGGTATTGGGAAACACCTGCTGACGCTTAGAGAAAAGCGGGGTAGCGGTGATATTGTTTCCGGTACTGAGGAAAGGCCCACCGGAACTTAGTAAGGAGTTAGGAGCAGAGAATAGAGGCCTTCGGAGTATAAGTACTCAGGTTCATTCTCGCCCTTCAGTCCTGTTCTCTCCAGTCTTCATCAGAAAGAAAAACCAAGTTCTTATCGGTAGCAGAGCCCTTAAAGATTATTGAGTTCTAGCGATAGTATCTTTGAATAATCTGCAACCTGATTGTCTATCTTGCACGGCTGTCTCTATTCTATGCAATTCTATTTCTCTTAGAAGGGACCCCCGTTACAGATAATCTTTAAGGCTCAAGTCACCTTCAGATTATTCTTCCTCTATACAAAAATGTCCGCCCTCCCGGCTCCAGATGCACCCCTTCAGATTGAATGGCAGCCGGTGCCCCTCCAGCTTGATGCCACCGGGCAGACACAGCTTGTCAAAAAACCCAGGACCCCTCTACAGACCTACATTCCCGGTTGCGAGCCTGCCTGGCAGGATACCGACGAGGTTTCCATCCAACAGTTCTTCACAGAGCTCCAGACCTACCTTCAGCACAGTCTGCAGAACCAGTTGACGCGGAGCAGTCAAGCCCTCCTCCTTGTACAAGAGCGCCAGGCAGCACAGAATGCTCTGATGGCAGAAACTCTTGAGTACATGAGGCATGAAGTCAACTCTGTCCAGGAAGAACTCCGAAAGTGTTACGGGCATGCCAAGCATTTACGGGAGTGAGAGAAAGGCTAGAAGATACCCCAATACCCTCTGTACGCTAATAGCAACTCTTGACCACACTCGCGGAGTGTGGTGCGACCAAATTACGACCAAAAACCCAGAGTCATAAAAAACACGTTTTCGACCCCAATAATAACCCCCGGAGCGTCAAACCGCCGGAGGGGAGTGTTTTGGTACCGGTGGATATATGAGGGACAGCTGGAATCAATCGGATCGAAGATCGGACCGCTCGGAGTGAATCGGCGCAAGCTGCCAGCTGACCGAGTACCTATCGGCGGTACCTGTGGGCATGAGAGGACTCTGCTATGTGGGAAAGCGATGTGGGAAGAGGCCTAAGTAGGTAGCCTTGCTGTCCGAGACCTCCGAATAGCCGACGCTGACGATTATCCACCAGACGGCCGATGGGGAAGAAACATCGACAAGGAAACGTGCATTAGAGTGGATAAAAAGGTTGAGGGGTTTTAGCGGCTTTAGGAGTTTGGGTTACGGACTTAGGAGTTAAAATGTTCTTGGTTGTTTTTCAGGGTGTCGGGTAGGCCCCGAGTGTATTCTGTATTATTAGTAGACTGGGTCCTCGAGACATAAGCGAGGGATATAAATACTATGTCATTCACTGACTAGCCAAACCATCATCGGCGAAATCAGAGTGTAACGGCAGCCATACGTTTCGGTTATGTGAAGTGTTAGAGTATGTAAAGGAAGGATTGCGTAGTGTGTGTGGGATTTATTAAGCGAGTTTCTTTTATGTTCTTTCTGTTTCTGTTACGCGAAAAGATGAGTCATCGTGGGTTGAGGTTTGGATATATAAAGGGGCGTTGTCTCGGCTTTCTTCTGTTTTCTTTCCTTTCCTTTTCTCTTTACGCAACCTCTGTATTTATTCCACGAATACTATTCTTTGTCCGCACTACGTCATAGGGCTCCAACCGATTTATCATACCAGGTAGAGCCACCCCATAGTCCATAGTCAAAGTATACCTTTACGTCTACGTCCACGTCTACGTCACTACCTAGGTTGTATTCCTTGGCATCACAGTCTATCGCCTACAGTCTCCGTGATACGTAGGTTGCGTCCTCTATCGCCAACCAATACAACACCATAGTCTACAATGTCGGAACACGTTCATGTCGATTACCAACAACTCAACGATAACCTCCAAAGATTTTTTGAAGCGCATCCACAGGTCGTTCACGTTGTTGGAGCTGAAGCCTATGCACTTCTTCAACAGTGTCAAAATGGTCTTACTCAATATGCAACAGATTTACAAGAGGTAGAGGCGGAAGCTGAGAGGGCAAGAAGAATGTTTGAACGGGATCTTACTGCTGCCCGAGCTCAACGAACTGCTGTTGAGGTTGTGGCCCCTGACGAGGAACCCATTGGAAACAACGCTCCACCTGTACCTCCAGCACCACCACTTATAGGTACCACCTATCGGTCGGAGAAACTCCCAGACCCCGATGTGTTCAGGGGGGATCGTGATCGAGAAAGGTTACACTTATTTAAGCAACAAATGAAAATCAAGCTACTAGGAAATGCCGATCGCTATCCTACACTACAGTCGAAATTATCATATGCGTTCAGCAGATTGGAAGGCGCTGCTGCCAATCAATTCTTACAGTACATGGGAGAAGAAGGTATTGCTTTACCTTCTATGACACGGTTTTATGAAATTCTGGATACAGCTTTTGGGGACCCCGATCGAATGCGCACGGGTAGGAGAAATCTCCGGAATATCAGACAACGCACTAGAACTTTCGCTGACTACTTCGCTGAGTTTCAACGGTATGCTGCTGAGTCGGGTATGGATGAAGTTTCTCGGATTGAAGCTTTGATGGAAGGAATTAATGGGGAATTGGACGAATCGATGATACACCATGAGACTCCTGTAACGGTAGATGGTTGTGCAACACTCTTACAACGGTTGGATAACCGACGATGGGCGGCAGAAGCTAAGCGAGGTAATAAAAAACCTTGGACTACTACTGCGACCCCGGCTCCGCATCCCCCACCAACAAATCCTGTTCCTGCTCCCCGTCCCGCTGCCCCTGCTGCCAACCCACCTGCCACTGAGAATCACCCCTCATTCGGTCCTGGAGGTGATGTACCCATGGATCTGTCTGGAGGACGTCGTCGCCCTACCCCTGCCGAAAGAAACGCCCGCTTAGTTGAGGGCCGATGTTTCTATTGCGGAGGTGTTGGACATATGGTTAGGGATTGCCCCCAAGCGAGGGCAACGGGAAATCAACCAAGGAGGCCTGTTATGAGAGGAGCGGCGTTGACAGTGGAAGAAAATGGCGGAAGCGATAACGAGTCGGCAAAAGATTTGTCCCTGCACTAAGTGGCTTAGCCCAGGGACCATTTAAGGATTTTTCTAGGATGTGTATTTCTGGTTTTTCGGTATCAGAGGAGGAAATGGATGGAAATCAACTTGTAGTAACTTGTTCGATTTCACAGAATAAAAATTCTTTCATACCTACCTACGCCCTTATTGATACCGGAGCATCAGGATATGCTTTTATTGATGAATCTTTTGCACGCCACAACAATCTTACAATGACCCTCCTCAAAATACCCCGCCATGTAGATGTTATAGATGGAAGGCCTATTAAGTCAGGAAAAATTACCCACATTGTCGATGTTTCGCTAGACATTCATGGTCATCGGGAAGTTGTGCCATGTTTTGTAACGAAGTTAGGACATTATCCGATTGTGATGGGGATACCTTGGATGCGACGACATGATGTTACGATTCGACCAAAAGAAAATCTACTTGTTTTTGACTCTCGAAGCTGTTGTCAATACTGTTCACTCAGTGGAACTGCAGTTATTGTTCATGGCATCTTGATTCCCTTACCGGAGCACCATACGGTCATCGTTTCAGCAACTGAAAAATCTACGGTCAATATTGAACAATTAGTACCGAAAGAGTTTCATCATCGTCTCCATATGTTTAAAGAATACGATGCTTCAATTCTCCCACCACATCGACCATCCCACGACATCGAGATAGTACTAGAAGAAGGTAAACGACCACCATATGGACCTATATATGGGTTGTCTCAAATTGAATTAAAAGCACTACGGGAATATCTCGATGAAAATTTACCTAAAGGATTCATTCGAGCCAGTGAATCACCAGCGGGAGCACCTATATTGTTTGTAAACAAAAACGATGGAACTCTTCGACTTTGTGTTGACTATCGAGGCCTAAATGCGATTACAATCAAAAATCGATATCCATTACCATTGTTAAAGGAAACCCTAGCTAAGTTGTCAAGAGCAAAATACTATACAAAGTTGGATTTACGTTGGGGATATAATCAAATCAGGATAGCGGAGGGAGATGAATGGAAAACGGCATTTCGGACTCGATATGGACATTTCGAATATACAGTAATGCCATTTGGATTAGCTAATGCCCCTGCTACTTTTCAACATTGGATTAATGATATTTTACGTCCCTATCTCGATCAATTGGTAACAGCATACTTAGACGATATCCTTATCTATTCCGAGACCCTATCAGAACATAAAGAACATATTCAGAAGGTTCTAAAGGTACTTGATGAAAATCATGTTCACCTTAAACCTGAAAAATGTGAATTTATGGTTCAGGAAACAAAATATCTTGGTTTAATCCTTACTCCGAATGGGAATAGAATGGATCCAAAGAAAGTTATCGATGTTTTGGAATGGACTACACCGACAAACCTTCATGATGTTCAAGTATTCCTAGGATTTGCAAATTTCTACCGACGGTTTATTTTGGGATATTCGAAAATTGTTGCCCCGCTTACAGCCTTGACAAAGAAAAACGTTAAATTTGAATGGACGGATGAAAAGGAGGAAGCATTTCAGACTTTGAAAAAGATGTTTACAACGGCACCGATACTAGCTCATTTCAATCCAGATCGAAAAATTGTGATAGAAACCGATGCATCCGATTATGTTTCAGCAGGAATCCTATCTCAACGTGACAACGAAGGAATCCTACATCCAGTTGCTTTCTTTTCCAAGAAACACTCTCCCGCAGAATGCAACTACGAAATCTATGACAAAGAACTTTTAGCAATTATACGATGTTTTGAAGAATGGCGACATCATCTGGAGGGAGCTCAATTTCCAATTGAAGTTCTTAGCGACCATCGGAATCTTGAGTATTTTATGACAACAAAATTGTTAAATCGTCGACAAGCCCGTTGGTCCGAATTTCTTTCACGCTTCGATTTCGTTATACAATTTCGGCCAGGAAAACAAGGAACAAAACCAGATGCATTGACTAGGAGGTCAGGTGACCTACCTAAAGAGGGGGATGAACGGTTAACGCATCAGAGTCAAGTGATTCTGAAGCGAAAAACTTTGGATACCAAGCTAAGTTTGTTCGCGGGTTCTTTGTCAAATGAATCCGCTGAAGGAGCGTCCACTGTAGAGGAGTTATTTTCAAAAGCTTACCAAGTGGATAGTTTCCCAAACAAGGTCCTCAATATGCTTCGGAATGGCATATGCCACTCAAATAAAATCTCACTTGCCGAATGTATGGAGGATAACAACGGTCGGCTGCTTTATCGAGGCATGCTATATGTACCAGACGACGATGACATTCGACTAAGGCTTTTAAAAGAATATCATGACAAACCATCTGCAGGACATCCGGGTAGAGCGAAGACTCTGGAGCTCCTAAGTCGAGAATATTACTGGCCACAGATGCGGAAGTTTGTCGATCAGTATATTAGGAATTGCAATGTGTGCACCCGTAGTAAGGCATCACACAATGCACCTTATGGAGTACTTCGCCCCATGCCAATTCCCGATGGACCCTGGACAGATGTCTCGATGGACTTTGTGACTGATCTTCCTGAGAGTGATGGGTATAATGCAATTTTGGTCGTGGTGGATAGACTAACCAAAATGCGGCATCTGATACCAACGACAAAGGAGGCGGACTCACAGGAAGTAGCAAGGCTATATATTGATAACGTCTGGAAGCTACATGGATTACCCG